AGCATTGATTCAAGCATGTTGTCACTATTATCATTGTATTGTCGATTAGGTTTTGGTGGCGAATTGTTTGAGGGCTTCGAGCAGTGGTTCGAAGGATGAGGACGACCTGCGGCACGCGAAGAAGAAACATCGTTGCTCGTGAGGGAAAGATGAATGAACCGAGGTCGTTACGGTGAAGAATAGCATATACCTCTTTCGGGCAGGAGTATTTGCGCATGCATCCATGCACGCGTGACGATAATGCTACGATTTTGTGACGTTTTCTTAGACTTTTAGACTTCTGTGCAGAGAACTACAGGCGTTTCCCTAAAAAAGGCATGTGATGAGATTGGGCGACACTGTGTCTCAGGTTCTCGACGTCATGGCATTGCCATGTTCACTTGAAAACTAGATTGATCCAGAGGGTCCAAATCCTGATATTCGTGCTTCTGTGCTCTCGGAGGGGACTTACTTCAGTTGTGAGATTCAGTTTACTGTTAGTGTGGAGCCTCTGTATAGCTAAATAAATCACATGCACTCGTCAAATATAGAAATATGCTCTGCACATATGACTGAACAGTGTGTATCACAGTCAGCGATCGACACTATTGATGTGTATGCTGATGGTATGCTTCCCGCTTTTGTACTTCGCAAAATGTGCAGAATTTCAGACGATTTCCTTGAAACAAGCATGAAACCGCATGGGTACTACCTCACCCAAAAAATAGCTGGCTGCTATTCGGTCTGATGTTCAACACGACACATTGTTTATTACTTTGCTTGAGCCGTGCGATATTGCTTTGCGGCTTTTCCTTGACAACTGCCTTATAGGTAATGACGTTATCCTCCGTAACACTAAGCTGTGCTGATGCTTTGAATCAAGGTAGTAGAAAACCAGATTTGGGAGCCTTAGAAGGAGAAAAATATTGGGGTTAGATGCTATAGGGGGTGAGTGGCTCGTGTGAAACGGGATTGCAGCTTGTACATCGGATGCATAGATGGCTTTTAGTTTGAACTGCAGCCTTCACGGCAATAATAGCAACAGCAGCTCTGAAGTCTTCCTTTTCAACTTCTTTTAAAAAGTGCTTCCGCCATTGTATCAAGTTGCTTTCGATCTTGTATGGTAGTGCTTGATCCTTTGGTTGCTGCATCCCGGGGTCTCAGGGATCTCAAGTTTCGGTGCAATTCAAAACATCTGGTCTTGGGATCTATCAGTACACTCATGTTCTGTTCATTGAAAGGATATGTCCGAAGCTTTTCGACTTTTGAATTGAAAGGATATGTCCGAATAATATTTCGACTTTTAGTGACAGGTTGAGAGAGTTCGCACACCCCGTAGCATTGGCTGTAATTCCCAAGTGACAGAAACACGGTCACTGGGAGCCCTTACGTTGCTAAATTGTGTGACAGTGGAACTTAATTGGGGATTTTTATACTCTTCATTCCAATTGCAAATACCGACTACGTAACCAATTTAATGATCACTTACAAAGAGTTATACAGTTTCTTTGTTGTCATGGAAGGAAAAGCATATCTCAGTACAAGACAAGTACGTTCATGAATTGCTTAAGTTTTTTTTCTAACAGTAATTTCAAAATTGAAATCATTCTCAAAGCTTGATTTATTTATTTATTTAGAAATCTAACCAACCTTAAATGAAAAAAAACACCTACTTGCACAAAACAGTCTACTAGAATATATATATATATATGTAGATAAGAATAATAATACAAGAAATGGTAATTGTATTATAGCAACATCCTGAGCATAAAGAACTTATCATCAGCTAGTGGAACATACAATGGAAATTCGTTATATATATATATATATATATATATATATATATTCCTCTTTTTCTCAGATTTTTTTTTTTTTTTTTTTTTTTTTTTTGTTGTTGCGTCACTTTATATTCATAGAAGCATGTTGGAGGAGGAGAAGAAAAAACTGTGAGTGTAGTCCGGAGGGGGGTTGTCCAGGACAAACGCCGACGCCGACCCTTGAGCTGGAGCAATGAGCTCCGGGACCCAGAGTTGGTCTGCTCGGTGGGGTTGGATTGCGACTGGCCGACTGTCACCAGATTGATGGCATCATGACACAAACACACACACACACACACACACACACACTAGAGTTAGCGAAAACGAGGCGAAGAGGGGGCATGCATGCATGTCGAGGGAGAGCGAGAGGGAGAGGCAGAGAGAGATAGCCCTCTCATGTGTCCATTCCTTCATTCAATCAATCGTGCAATGAGGCAAGGCAATCAATCACTGCTGTGTTTGTTTTTCCTCCCTCGCTCCGGAGAAGCTGATTACCCTCGCTCGCTCCTGTTCTTCCTCCTCCTCCTCCTGTACATCATCCCCACTTGACCACCCCCTATTGTGATGTATATACACACACACACCCAATTTGTGTCCTCTCTTGCTCTCATCTACTTCTCTGCCACATGTGGCGGTCTAGATTTTTTTTAAAAAAAAACTAAAATAGAAAGACAGATACTTATCTCTCTCTCTCGATAAATATATATAAATATATATAAATATAATATATAAATATATATATTTATATATATATTTATATATATATTTATATATATATTTATATATGTGTGTGCGTGTGTGTGAATTCTTTTCATGGTGTGTGGTCGATTACAGTGATGCATCACAAGTACAGAGGTAGCGCTAACACCCAAACTTACTTACTTACTAACATCTCTCTCCCATTTGGGCTCGGGAGACAGTAGTGGACGTTCAAGCTTGAGCGGTGTTGCTGCGAGTGTGGACGTGGGGATTGTGTGGATCGACAACGATGACCTTCACACTTTTAGGGTTTAGGGCTTGGGTTTACCCATGATTTCATTACCTTGAGACCAAGTTTAGGGTTTAGGATTTAACCACAATTTATGTATGATATTGAGAGAGAGTTGTGTCCACATGGCATACTTGAGCAAGTAGGTGCATTGTGGATCTTTAATGCTTATGCAAACATTTTGAAATGAGTTTTATGGTAATATAAATTGGTTGAATTAGGTATCTTAAGATGCAATTAAGTTGGAAACTATTAAGATGGTGTAAGTAGATGGCAATATAGACTGATTGTATTGAGATGCAAATAGGTTTGATATTGGATGTCAATAAGATGCAATTAAATTTTTAATGTACGATAACAGAAACACACATTAGTTTGTTTGTTTGCACTAAAGCACAACTCCACTTTTTAAATATTTATATTGAAATATTATGTTTTTTTTGTGTATATTTTCTGTTGGATCAATTAAAGAATTTGGTCTCATTATAGATGTTTTTCTCTTCTTGAAAAAAATAATTAAAAATTTTAAAACACAAACAACTGCATAAGAATACATTTAAAATATATATGCACAAAAAAGAAAACTGTTTAGCAAGCTAAATGATTGTTGAGTTGTAAATAACATTGCCAACAAATCACAAGATGATTGAAAGTGGCCATAAATGGGGTTTGGAGGAAAGGGTTGGTCAGTGGTCCCATCATCTCATTGGACACCACACAACATATATATATATATATATATATATATTTATACAAATACATTTATTTATTTATATATATATTTATACAAATACATTTATTTATTTATACATATACATACATACATACATATATACATACATATACATGTGTAGTACAAAAAAAGAATAGAGAGAGATGGTGGCGGGTAAGAACCCACAATAGTAATCCTTCAATGATTAGTGTGTGCAAAAAGAAGCTCAGTATTGGAAAAATAGATAAATTAAAAAATTAAGAATTAAGAAAAGGAGAGTTGTGTGGCAATACTTGCAGAGCTATGTGTGTTTGTGTATATATGTATACATATATAGATCTCAACTAATGAGGTTATCTGCACTTGGCAGCTCTATTTCTTTTTAATTGGGAACCCAACTCCCAGATCTGGTTTCAATACCAAAACCAGTATTTCTTTGATGTAGTTGTTATAGTTTCATAGGCTCACAGATCACACAAATCTATATATATATATATATACACAAAGAGCGAGGCTGTGAGTATTGTGCAAAAGTATCTGTTGTTGTTGTTGATGTTATCTGCCACTTGTTGGGCCTTCTAATATAAATACTTTCCATGTCAATTATTGGAATAGTGTAGCATCTGTAGCTGCAGATGACTTGCGCATGAGTTAGAACTGAGTGAGAGTTAACTGAGCGTCAAAAGGATTTTGGATACAATTTGTGCCGAAATTTGCCATCCTAGTAAGTATATCAGAATTCAGCTGCAATCTCACTTTTGATGTTGGTAAAGCAACTATATGAGTTTTTTTTTTTTTTTTTTTTTTTTTTTTAAGTATTTTTTGAAGTTTTTTTTGAAGTTTTTTTTATTCAGATACCACTTAATGTGAATAATTTTTCATCAGAAGTTATAAGACAACACACTTGATTTTATTTTTTATATTTTTTTTGGAGATTGCACTTGAAAAAGAAGTGATTGTTACACATTTTGAATTTCAATGTTTTCAATAAGTTTATCTAACAAATGGAACGAAGACTGATAATACAAAACCTCCATACAGCTATTTCTTGTAGAAACTTAGATGGTAAGAACTTACATGTTATTTCAATCCTGAAGACAAGATCATCTACTTGAAAATCATTTAATATGGATTTTTTATCTTGTACATCTCAATTATTATTATTACTATAATTATTATTATCATCTTAGCTTAAACATTAAAATCTTATTTGTAACAAAAAAAAGATATATATATATATATATATATATTCGAAACAATTCACTTTTATATTTAAATCTCAATTTATAATTTTTAAAACATACTTTTGAAAGAAAAAAATTAAGTAAATTTTATAAAATTGTAAAACACCTTGAATTTTTTAATTCTTGACAATTTAACTTTTCAGTCACCTAGCCATATTACGTATATGAAGTATTCAATGATTTCAGCACAAATGACTAGAAACAAGTTGATATGTCACAGAAACCTTCTATTCAATCAATAAAAAGTTTAACGAAAAAAATATTAAATGCAGCAATAAAATAAAATAAAATAAAAAATAAAATAAATCGTGCTAACTATTGTATTTTACATTCCTGCCTAGATTTCTTAAGTGGTTCTACTAGTATAACGTTGAATCATAAACTTGTTTTCTCGAAGAACCCCATGTTTCAAAGATTCAGGATGCTTTTGAAAGGGTATGTGCATATTGAATGCAGCAGTTGACAAGATACTTAGTTTGGTCAATGCAAATCCCAATGGTATTAACCTCACATTGGTTTGTTAGATGATCACTAGTAAACGGCACAATCACGTACTACAGATGATCAGTAACTTCTTTCACTAATTGAGTGAGAGAAGTATGAAAACAGATATACGTACATGATTAAGTTCAGTGCAAGGTCCCTACTTTCCTTATTAAAAAGCTTAAGACGCACCTGACCTGCCTCAGATTCCTACTTCATCACAGAATTAAGACTACCAAGTCTCGATCCAAGGTCTCAGATCCAGCTCATGAGTCCATGCAGTCTTTGGTTGTTGATAAGTGTACCAGTACAGCTTTGCAATATCTTGGGGATTAACCATTCCCTGCCTTTCCAGTATTGATGCAGAGTCCTTGACCTGTCCTCTTGTCCACTGAGTGTCGATAGGTCCATCCACGATGAGATGTGCCACATGAATGCCTTTGGGACCAAGTTCCCGAGCCATACTTTGCGCCAAAGCTCGAAGACCGAACTTGGCTCCTGTACGCAAATGTGAACATCGTTGAAAACCGTAAGTAAAAAGAAAAATTAAAACTAAAAAAAATAAAAATAAACCTTCATTAGAGGATCTGCCAAACATGTGAAACAAGAAGAGCTTTGAAGCAAGAACAGTTATGACTTTGATGAAAAAAATTAGTAACATTTGGGTCTTTTGCTGCTGGTCCTGTCTGGCAAAAGAAATAGAGAGAGAGAGAGAGAGAGAGAGAGAGAGAGATTCTATGACAGAAAACCAGCCACCAAGGACTCAAATAATGAAAGTTCGATATGATTTAACAGTTCAGCTATAACGCACACCTGCAAAAGCTGCGTAACCAGAACCTCCTCGCAGACTGGCCGTGGCTCCAGTGAAGAATACAGTTCCATTACCACGGACTACCATCCGCTTGGCCACCTCACGACCACACAAGAATCCAGCAAAACACGCCATTTCCCAAACCTGAAGCCATAAAACATGCATGACTTCAAAGATTTACGTTTATGATAAAACTGCAAAGTTTCTAATTCAACGAAGGATTTATCAAGTATCAAGAGTCGACCATCTGAGATGCAGAGTGTAACCATAAATAAGTGATGTGAAAAGCAATCGCAAAAAAATTAATGGAAAGAGTCAAAAAAGAAAAGAAGATAATCAATGAGTTCATACCTTCCGATAGACTCTAGATGTTGTCTCCAAGATGCTAAAATTAACATTTGCACCAATGTTGAATACCAGCACTCTGATGTCACCTATGTCTTTCTCGATCTGCTCCACAAGTGCCACGACCTGTTCTACATGCATGCCCACAGTCCCAAGATTCGTCCCCTAATTCTAAGTAAAGGGTTTTGAAAAAGATGAAGGCGTCAAACAATCCCATCTCATTCTGCCTAGGCCTTTGATAGTTCTATGGTTTTGACATGAAGAATTCACAGAAACTGATACCTTCTTTTCGAGCATCGACCCCAAACACATGAGCTTTGCCACCGTTCTGAGTTATGTCTTGCGCCAGTTGTTCCAGTTTACTCGCATCCCTACGTACAAGGCATGCAGTGTAGCCTTCGCTAGCAAACTTCTTTGCAACGGCACCTCCAGTGGCATCGCCAGCTCCAATGACAAGGATGACACGCTCCCTGTCTCCAGGTTTCGATGCTTCCTCGTTCTGTCCCTCAATTCCATCTGACCTCACACGTTTCCCCATCAGCTCTGTTTTTCGCATATTATGTCCGAATTTTAAACCCTACCTCGTCCGGAAAGTATCAAAGAAATACAAAAATGGGTCACACTTATCCAGCAATCCAGCTCCTTCCTCTACAAATTTCCAGCGCTTACCAGACGCGCTGGTGGGCACAACCTCGAAGCAGCCTCCGCTCTGCTCCTCTATCACCGAACTACCAGAAGTTGATGGAAAAGAATGCAAATGTCGCATGATTCGGTTCAATCTTCTAGCTGCAACGCTTTCCTCCATTTCGAGACTCGATCTCGGTTCCTAAGGATCCAGCGAAGGTTACTCTGCACTTACACTCAATAAAAGAGGCCGTGGAAGAAGAAGAAGATGAAGAAGAGGGAGACAAACTTAGGGTTATCAACTATTCCAAAGCCAACCCTCGCCAATTCAACAAAGTTTACAAAACGAGTTGCCCAAAACGCAATTCCTTTCCCCTGAAAAAACGAGAATCGACTCGAATCTTGCAGTGTCTTCACCGAAACCCTAAACCCAAATCAACGTGAAAGGGGTACAGAAAGGTGGAAATTCGCCATCGCTGTTCTCAATGGAACTCCTTTCAATTCGAGAATTATTGCCCACAGAACCATCGCAGCAGCATTTAGTTAATTCAATCTGTTGAGATGTTGAGATCATTAAATGTAGCCGACGCTTTCCATAATATTTACTGTAGACTACAATAATTACTGTAGCTACAGTATTTAGAGTCTAATGGAGAAGTATTGTTCATCCTCTTATCTTCTCTCTTCTTGTGTACTAGACACAACCAGATCAATAGATTTTTGTGTGTGTGAAGCTCTCTCTCCTTAGAAACCCTTGTGTCTGTATGACTTACTACTACTCGTGTGTGTGTATGACTTACTATTACTCTTGTGTTTTTCTAAACATTCTCAACAAGTTATCAGCACGATTCTCTTCTACACACTATCACAATTTTTTTTGCTCTAGTCTTTGATTCTTCAAACTTGTTGCTACCCTTGCTTAGTGTCTGGGTCATGATCTTGTTCTTCTTGCTGGCTCCTCACACATTAACTGCTTGCTTAGAGCACTTGTTCCACTTTCTGCCTTGCTTGCTCTGAATACTTGATCCAACCCAACTCCACCCTCTGCTGCGCCCCAAACTGACGCCGAACAAACGCCTAACCACCGGCGAACAGACGCCTAACTGCCACCGAATCCGCCGCTGCCACCCTCTTGCCGTTGCCGCTGCCGCCCACCATTGCCAGCCGCTGCCTGCCGCTGCTGTCCGCCGCTGCCACCCTGCCGCTCTACCGCTACCTGCTGCCGCCATTTTATTGCTGTTCTGCTGCCTTAATCTACAACTCTTTCTCCTTAAATAATATATATATATATATATATATATATATTAGTTTTTTCAAGTTCAAGTTTATCATTTTATTTGATTTTACATTTTAAGATATGTTTTACTCAACTTTTTTACTTGATCTTCCATTTTCTTTATAGATTTATTTATAATGAGTGCTTCAACATTTTCAACTGCTTCTACTATGGTTCCTACTATTATTAGTGCATCCCAACATTTTCAAGCTCTTTTATTTCCACCATTGACTGTGGATGGAAACAATTAACTATTATGGGCAAAAATGGCAAAAGCAAATTTATCTGCAGAACAACTTTCGAATGCCATTATGTTTAAAGAATCTCCTACAACAAGTATTTCTATATCTCCTACTATTTGTTGGAAAGCACTTCTTCTCCTTCGTCGTCATCTTGTACTTGCATTACAATATCAATATTTGGAAATGGAAGACTCTGCAAAACTTTGGAAGAAACTTAAATCTAGGTTTGATCATCAAAAGACCATTTTTCTTCCATGTGCACGTCATAATTGGAGACATTTACGTGTCTTGGATTTTCCAAATTTAAATGCTTTCAATAGTGAAATATATAGTATTGTCTCACAATTACGATTATATAGACAAAGCATTTCTGAAGAAGAAATGATTGAGAAAACTCTCTCTACATTTCCTCCTGCATTTGTTGTGCTTGCTTAACAATACAGAAATTTGAAATTTCAGAGTCATTCTAATTTCATGTTCTATCTACTTCTTGTGGAGAAGCAAAATGAACTACTCTTGCGCAATGCAGAAGCTCGTCCTATTGGAACTACAGTTCCTGAATCTCATGCACTTAATATTTCAAAGTCTAAGAAGAAATTATATAAACATGGGAAACATGCTCATAAGTATCAAGGTAGTCATAGTCAAGACCATTTCTATCCATATTGAAAGAATAAACGTTCTACTATTAATTATAGTAGAAAACAAAAATCAGAGATGCGTTCTTGCCATAAGTGTGGAATGATTGGACATTTAGCACATGCGTGCCGTACTTTAGAATATTTTATTAAAATATTCCAAAAGAATAAGAAATTACGAGTTGAGGCTCGTGAAGTTCATACCATGGATGCGTCCATGGATTCAATTGGTGTTGATGACTTAGAGGCTTGCATGATTGATAGAACCTCTAATGATGAATCAAATGATGCGCTCATTGATTCTGCAACAACACATACTATCTTGCGAGATATACGATTTTTTATTGAAAAATCTTCAACTTGGCAAACTAAAAATATGATGACCATGGTTGGAGCAAATGCGTTTTGTTTCCAAGAGGGCTCAGCGATGGTAAAATTACCTCCGGGTTCCATCATAAAATGTAAACATGTGATGTTTGCACCCTCAGCACCTCGGAGTATGATCAGCTACCGAGATGTGCGTATTAATGGTTATCACCTCTCGACCGCCACTTTAAATAGAAAAGAAGTTTTGGTTCTTGCAAAGAACCATAAAGTTGTTGAAAAAGCTTTTGCTACAGAAAATGGTTTATACCGAATTGCAATTCAACCTCCCATTATATTTAATTTTGCATCATCTATCTCAAAGAGTCGTATTTCTCTTTGCCATGGATAATTGGGACATCCAAGATCCACATTATTTAAAAAGATCATTCCATGTATAACTGTCATGGACATACATTGGAAGATTCTTCGAATATTCTTCTAGAATATTCTCTAAAGATTCTCTAAAGATTCCTTTAGAGGATTCTAGAAGATTCTTAGAATATTCTCTAAAGATTCTCTTAGAAGGTTCTAGAATATTCTTAGAAGGTTCTAGAATATTCTTAGAAGGTTCTAGAATATTCTGATAGATTCTAGGAAGTTGCTCGAGAAGTTTCCTAATTAGTAGAAGTTGTTGGAGAAGCGTCCTAGTTAGCGGAAGTAGCTCGAGAAGCTTCCTATTCAGTAGTATATATAGGAGTCGAGGCTGAAGGGTTCTTCAGTCTCGACAACACATCTCTTGGAGTTCTAGCTCACCTTTCTGGTGTTGTTCTTGTACTCATCTGTTTAATCTAGTTCTGCCACTTCTTCTTGAACTTCTTGTTAGATTTCAAGTCTGTATTTTGTGTCCGTGACAGTTTGTCGAGACTGCATTTTCACTGGTATCAGAGCTAGTTCCTTCTTGTTAGAGAGTGGATTACCCCTCTTCTTGAAGGTGTGCTAGTCTTTTAGAGGTTGCGGATTACCCTCCTCTAAATTGATATCTCTTCTTTCTCAATATTGGAGCCTTATTCTTCTTGGAGAGAGTGGATTACCCCTCATCTTGGAGTCTTAAGGCGTTTTAGAGGTTGCGAAGTACTCTCCTCTGAACCAATATTGTCCTCTTGTCAAAACTCTTTTTTCTTCTTTCTGAAGGTTAGCCGAAGGTTAAGACGTTAAAATGGCTGAAAGTTTGGAATCCAAACTAGATGCCATCATAAATGCTCTTGCCTCGTTGTCACATAGGACAACACAGATCGAAGGAGTCATGGTAGGACTCCATAACAATGGAGCATCTGGGATAGCGCCATCTAAAGCATATCAGCCTCAAACTTCTGCACCAGAAGAAGCAGTTCTACCTCCATTTCAACAAGATCGAGTAGTCCTACAACGAAAGGAGCCTCGAGTTAGTCTTCCGGATAAGTTTGATGGAACTCGTTCCAAGTTTCGAGGTTTTGTCAACCAAATCAGGTTGATAACAATTTTACAGCCCGAACGTTATCCGACGGAGGAAGCGCGTGTTGGGCTTGTTGGAACCTTGCTTACAGCACAAGCTCTGTCTTGGTTTACTCCCTTGTTCGAGAAGCGATCGCCAATCCTGAGCAACTTTGAAACGTTCTTGGAGGCGTTTGCAGAAGCATTTGGCGAGCATGATAAAGTTCGATGGGCTACAACAAAGATCCGATCGCTACGACAAGGAACACGCTCTGCATCAATCTATGCCTCGGATTTCAGACAATTGGCAAGTGACATTAATTGGGGTGAAGAGGCGTTGGTGAGTCAGTTTTATTGGGGCTTGAAGGATGATGTGAAGGACTTGCTGTTATCTCTTCCTGATCTTCAAACGCTCAACGAAGCTATTAGCCAAGCTGTAAAGTGTGACAACCGCCTATTCCAGCGTCGCCAAGACCAACGTCCAAGACACCAAATGACTCGTTACGACGTGACTATGTCTGCAAATAGCTTAAACTCACATTCGGAGGCAACAGACATGCAAATCGACACGGCGCGTGTCCGATCTCTTACTCCAACAGAGAAGAAACGGCGTATGGAGGAAGGATTATGTTTGTACTGTGGAGAAGAAGGTCACAAGGTTGGAAATTGTCCAAAGAAGCAAAATTGGCACCCTGTCAAGACTAGAAGTGCGATGATTCCGGAAAACGACGACGCCCAGCCACAGTAGGAACCGTGCGGCTGGACAATCTAATATCACGACAACAATCAGGTTCCTCCTTCTCTGTCCAACCTGCCCGTTGTTTTACAATTCCTTTGTTTTTAGGCCCTCAAAAATAAAAAACTTTAGCTTTATTGGATTCGGGGGCATCTACTTGTTTTTTAGATGAAGAGTTTGCTAAACGCCACAAGATCCGTTTAGTACAGAAGTCCAAACCTGTTCACGTAGAGGTGATAGATGGACGACACTTATTGTCAGGCAACGTTACCCACGAATCAGAACCTATAGAAGTGGTGTTTAAGGACCATAGTAGTCACGTCATTTTTAATATTATTAGAACCCCATCAAGCCCTGTTATCCTTGGTCTTTCTTGGTTAGAAGATCATAATCCGTCCATTGATTGGAGGCTACGAAGGATAACATTTCCTGAAAAAAATAATAATAAACCTGTTGGTAGAACCTACATGAAGAAATCCATGTTTATTGGAGCGAGAGCGTTCCTAAGATCGTCCAAGGAAGGCGCACCATTTGTCATTTATGCAGCTCCAACTAGCGGCGAGAATATCTCAACATCGAATATACCAGAGCAATATAGGGATTTTGAAGACGTGTTTCAGAAGAAGAACGTCGATATACTGCCGGAACATCGACCATATGATTGCGCCATAGACTTAGAAGAAGGAGCGCAACCACCTTTTGGTCCAATATACAACCTATCGCAGACGGAGTTGGCAGAATTGCGGAAGTACATCGATGAGAATCTAGCCAAGAATTTTATTCGACATTCAAAGTCGCCAGCTGGAGCATCAATCCTATTCGTGAAGAAAAAGGATGGCTCACTGCGGATGTGCGTGGACTACCGAGGACTCAACAAGGTGACCAA